CCAGCATGGCTGGCTGGGGAATTCTGGGAGTTGAAGTCCACCCATCTTACAGTTGCTAAGGTTGAGAAACACTGCTCTAGAGCATTGAATGAACCCATCCTCCCTGCTGTTTCATGCTGCCTCAGTTCATGCCGAATCCTGCTTCAGGAAGCTTAATTTCAGTTTGACACCCCACTGAAAATCCATAGATCGGTACCTCTCTCAAAAGTTGCAATTGGAAACTCTAAGGTACCTCACATCCACAAACCATGTTGAAAAAAAGGGCCCGGGCTTTGATCACATGGGCACAGATGCCATCTTGACTTTTTTGAACCCTCCCCCAGACTCCCCTTTTAAAGACATTTTTACCAAGGCTAGAAAGGTCCTGGCTTTGATCCAACAGGATGAAAATTAAAAAAAAAAACCAAATCCACTGGCAATCGTTTTTATTAGACGCCACCGGAAGCCTCTGCCCATTTGTGGGTTCTGTGGAAGGGTTGGGCATGCATAAGGAATGAAGAAACCGTCTGTGAGACTCATTTGCAGTTTCAAATTCCATTTGATGGGAGAAATGCCAGCTTTTGCCCAGAGTTGGGCAGTTTTGAAAGCAGGTTAGTTATTGTGGATGTACATCCTGGGTCTGCTTTCTTTGGCCTGGCTGAACCAGCTTCACAGTTATTTCAGCTCTGTGCCCTGAATCTGAAAAACCTGTTTGAGGGTAAAAAGGGGAGTAATGTGTGCTCTACAGCAGAGGAAAAGGTTCTTAAACTCCACTCTCTGCTTCCAGCCTCACATTTCTGGCCACAAGAGTGGAACAATGTTTCTTGCGTCCCCAAGAGAATGAAAATATCAATGCCTTATCCTATATCCACCCTATCATTTCCTTCCATTTTTATTATTTTATCATCTCACCTTTTTCTAAAAACCAGGGCTGGTTTGCACATTAATCCAAGGTGGGGTTGGTTGGTTGGTTTTTCAGCCATAACCTGAACTCACCCATTATGATTGCACCATAAAGAAGCCAGATCTTGTTTCTTTCCAAGCAAAATAGTTTAGAATGTTCTTGATTAGCATTATATATTCCTGGAGAAGATTAAAAAAAGTCAATAGAAGAGAGTATCTGTAGCTCAGGGTTGAACTGTGCCGTCCTTGACGCTCCCTGAGCTTGGTGGTTTCCCTGCAGATGTTTCATGACCGGACTAGGTTAACATCTTCAGTGCTAGTGAAGTGGGGTTTGCTGCCCTTATATACAGTAGCTTGCCCTGCCAGTGTTGGTGGGGTGTGGTTGTTCTCCCTAGTAGATCCTTGATTACGGCATTGTTTTCCGCTTGATTGTTTGTCTGGTGTTAATCCCTGCTTATCTGGGTGTAGGCTGCTGGAGAGGATGTGTTCTGGTCTTTTTGTTTCCCTCTTAGCTTTTCTATTGTCTCTTTCGAATGGTATGTAAATATGGTTTTTCTCTATGTGTCTATTGATGGCTGATTTGTCTGAATGCCAAACTTCCAGGAATTCTCTAGCATTTTTGGATTTAGCTAGGTCTAGGATGCTCACAATTTCCCAGTTGAAACTATGGTTGAGTCTGTCCATGCGTTGTGAGATTAAGTTTTCGTTGTGTCTTCTGACTGCTAGTTGGTGTTCTGTTAACAGCCACTATGTAGGACAGACAGGGAGAAGACTAGCAGAGCGCATCCGTGAACACAAAATAGCATTCAGAAGACACGATGAAAACTCCTGTTACCTAGTCAGGTAATGAAACATCTGTAAGAAACAACCAAGCTCAGAGTCACCAAGGACGCCACCTAAAAAGTCTTTTCACTTGCTTCTTTGGAAATGCAAGGTGTGTCTCTTGACGATAAGCTGTTACATGTGCTGGGTTCACTATTTCTCTTCCCAGGGACATTAAAGTTCTCAATTAAGTTTTCAGTGAGTTGAGATTAGCCCAGGTGACCTTCTTGTTGTCTCAGAGGGCTGGTCTTATTCTCTGGAAATCAGGGAGACAATTCTGCCTAAATGGGTTTTTCCACCAGAAACAGTGGGAGC